AAGGATTTCCAGATATTCTAATACATTTGGATATGGTAATCTAAGTTTTTGGTCACTGCAGCTGTATTTGCAGTAGGGGAAACTCCAAACCAAGTGATACTGTGGAGCTTGCAAGCTTACAGAGGTACCACCTTGGTGGTGTTGGATAAGGTCTGGAAGAATTATCTGAATTACCAGGCAGAGACTCTTGTTCTTTTTCCTTACTTCCTCCCAGACCAGTAGAGTCTCTCACTCTGTGCTGAGCTGTCTGGAGCTGGGGGAGCAGAGCAGTGACACAAGTACCCCTGTGGTCACCACCACTAGGACTTCATTGGATCAGATCTGAAGCCAGCACAGCACTGGATCTAGCCCAAGACCTGTGGCAACTACTGCCTGGCTACTACCTATGTTCACTCAAGGCCCTAGGGCTCTACAATCAGTAGGTGGTAAAGCCAGCCAGAGTGATGACATGTTCTTCCCAGCCCCAGGCTTGTCCAGAGATGGAAGCCCATACTGCAAGAAGGATATTAAACAACTAACTCTTTAACATTCAAGTGCCAGACCCTGGAGTTTGGAAACCTTAGGAACCTACCTGGTGCTCTCTTTTACTGTGGCTGAGCTGGCACCCAAGCCACAAGACAAAGTTCTTCCCATTCTTCCTTCCCCTTTCCACAAGCAGAGGGGTTTCTCACCCTGGCTACCACTGCCCCAGGCCCACAGGGAGTACTGCCAGGCTATCACTGATCTTCACTCAAGGGCTAAGGGCTCTTTGGGCAGCTTGTGGTGAATGCTACAAGGTCTGAGACTCTCTCTTTAGAGGAGTGGGCCCCCTCTGGCCCAGGGCAGTCCAGAAATGCCATCCAAGAGCTAAGGCCTGAAATTGGGAACCCAAGAGCCTGCCTGCTACTTTACCCCACTGCGGCCAACCTCATACCCAAGCTCCAAGACTAAGTCCCCTTTATTCTTCCCCCTCTGTTTCTCAAGCAGAGGGAGTCTCTCCTCATTGACACCACAGCTAGGAATATGCTGGGTCACACGTGAAGCCAGCATGTCTGAATCTAACCCAAGGACCATGGAATATACTACCTGGTTGCTGTTGCTCATTATTCAGGGCCCAGGGGTTCTTTCCATGACTGGGTCTTTCACTTCAAGGCAGTGGGGTCTCTTCTGTCCCAGGGTGTGTCTAGAAATGTTGTCTGGGAGCTAGAGCCTGGAATAGAGGCCTCAGGACTCTGCCCAGTACTCTATTCTACTGTGGCTGAGCTAATATTCAAGTTGCAAGACAAAGCCCTCTTTATTCCTCCCTCTCCTCAAACAGAGTGAAGGGGTCTCTCCTGGAGCTGTGAGCTGTGCTGCCAAGGGTTGCAGGATGGGTGAGACAAGCACTCGCTTGACCACTCTGGCTGGGGATTCACTAGGTCATGTGTCCTGCAAGTCCACTGGCTCTGAGCCCAGCATAGCATCAGGACTTGCCTGGGAATTGCAGTCTTTGTGGCCTAGACTGCCTTTCAAGTTTATTTAGTATCCAAGAGCTGTTTAGCCCATGTTACTGAGACTTATAGGAGCTAAACTTTTGAACACTAGGATGGACAGTTCTCCTCTGGCTAGGCCCGGTCTAAATACTCCCTCTGTAGGTGCTGACTGAGTTCTGCCTGATGTTGCTTTCCACTGTGGCAGGGCAGAACTGAGTTCCAATGCCAAGTCCCACAATCCCTTTGCTGTCCCTTACCAAAGCACAGAGATTCTCTCTCCAAGCCATGCGGCCACTGCTGCTGGAGTGTTGGGGTGATGGGGGAGGAGTTGCATCCGCAATTCAAGACTGTCTTTTCTACCCACTTTGGTGTCCCTTTCAGTGATATAAAACAAAAATCATGTAATGTGATCGCTCACCTGATTTTTGGTTCTTATGAAGATGCTTTTTTTGTGTGGATAGTCACACAATCTGGTGTTCCTGTGGGGAGAATGATAGGTGAAGGCTTCTATTCAGCCATCCTTTTCTGAAAGGTTTTGTAGAGGAGCAATAGGGTATGTGATACTTTGTAAAGATCACTTTGTCTGGGGCTGTAATATAAAGGTCCATTTATTTACATTCTGATGCCTTTTATACGTGTGACTGTGACATTTAGTTAGATCATTCTGGTGGCAGTGAAGAAAAGGTATTTGAGGGAGATTAAACTAAAAGCATGATTACCAGCTGGGACAATACTGAAGTAAAGCAATGATATAGTAATAGGGAGGAAGAAAATGATTTAAATTCAGATGGAGTTTTCATTATGTACATTTGTTTATATTATATACATACTATGTGTCTGTGTATGTGTGTGTATATGTGTGTGTCTGTATCTGTGCATGTGTATAATTGTTAAGACTTGGTGGTTGTGGAGTGGCTGTGAGAGAGTGGTGAGAGTGTGGCATGACCCCAGGATTTTGGTTTGACTGTGTGGGCAGGTGGTGCTAAGCCCTGAAATACAGAACACAAAAAGAGGGAACTAGTTGAGGGAGTAAGCATGATGAGCTCGGTTTCAAATATGTTGCCCTTGATACACCCATGGAATACTCCAGTAGCAATGTTGGTCACACTAGTTTCAGATCCCAGGGAGGTCAGTCCAGAACCAAGAATTTGAGAGTCATCAGCAGAAGAGGTGGAAGCTAAACTCTAAGGGCAGCATATGTCAATAAGAAACTTGACACTGGGGATGAGAAACTAAAAAAAACTAAGTACTGAGAAACAAAGGATCAGAAGGATGAGAACCATGGTAGTCAAAGGAGGAGAGAATCTCAAGAAGAGATGAGTGATCAACAGGGCCAGATGCATTGAGATGATCAAGTAAAGTAGGACCTGATGTATCCATTATATGTAGCAGAATAGAGTCAGGGGTGAGTGTATTAGTCTGGGTTCTCCAGAGAAACAGAACCAGTAAGAGATTAGATGTAGATGGACATGTATTTCAAGAAATTAGCTCAGGTGGTTATGGAGGCTGAGGAGTCCCAAGATCTGCAGTTGACAAACTGTGGACCCAGACTACAGTTCCAGTATGAGTCTGAGTCCAAAGTTAGGAGAAGACTGCTGCCCCACCTCTAAGACAGTCAGAGAGAGTAAGTTCTCCTTCACTCATCCTCAGTCCCTCAACAGATTGGATCAGGCCTACCCACAATCTTTACTCAGCCCACCTCATCCAGAAAGACTCCCACAGACACACTCTGGGCACTCCAGAGGGAAGAGCGGGAGATAAATGAAACTGTGGGTGTCGACTAATGTTCAAAAAATTTGGCAGAGAGCTAAAGGTGGTCACAAGGTCAAAGAGTGTATCAGCTTTCTTTTAGGATGGGAAGGTAAGCATTTTATAAGTTATAGGTTTATGAGTTAATCAATCAAGCTTGCCTGAGTTGGGGGTGACCAGATTGGGAAGAAATAGAGCTCAGGAAAGGAGGTTGGAGAGAGGCAGGGCAGAAGTGAGGATAAGGAAGAATCAGAGGATGAAGCTACACAGTCGGAATGGAAAGTTAAGATTTCCAAAGTGGGGCTCTTCTGAATAAAGGCAAAGCCCAAGATGCAGCCTTGAAAGGGGTGACTGAAGAGGAATGGAGGTTAAGGCTACTGGAGTGGAGAAAGCCAAGGAAGCGAAAGGCTCCGGGGCTGGGTACGTTGTTCCTGTGGCTCTTTTCTTCCCCCTGCAAGTTTCTGACCATTCTTCAGGGCCTGTATCAGAGGCCATCTTTGTAATAACTTACTGAGCCTCTCCTCCCATTCAAGTCACTAGGGCATCCTCTTACCCAAATAAAGTATTAATATATTTACATGACTAGTTTAACTTCTTTATCAGAAGATATTAGTTCTTCATGAGTCTGAGTAATGGAGACTGTCTTATCACCCCGAATACCTCTAGAGAAATAGTTCTTTATCTTTAGTATACAAAAGGACTACCAAGTAGCTTGTTAAAAGAGCTGATTTGCCAGATTCTGATTTGGTGGATCTGGGATAAAGCTTCAGAATCTGAATATTAACAAACATCTCAGATATCTCTAATGGGAGTATCAGGGGAGAACGTCATTTAGTCCGCACAATGCTCTATGGTTGCACCAAATTGTATGGAGAAGAATTAACAGAATAGAATCCAGTAGTCCTGAATGAATCAAGTTGCAAATGTTCACAGTCCCAGCTGCAGTTTGAGAAATAACCGGCAGGTGGCGAACGACCCACACAACTGGCAGAAATTACAGCTTCTCGGGATCCCAATTTCCAGACCCAAAACTGCCCAGGAGTAGAGGAGAAACCTATTTTCCAAGCAATGCTGTCGGCGACAATGGTGAGTTTCATCTGTTTGCATGTGCATCCTGATGTGTCGATGGCCGATCTCTTGCCCTGGTCCCTAGGGCTAAAGTCATGCTGACCCCATGACATTGCCTTCTGGCTACAAAAAGCCATAATCCTGGCACCAGCAAGGACTGGTCTCACTGATGACATCATTTGCCCCCTGAAGGTTCTTGTGGTGGAAGGGCAGTGGGAGAAGAACAGCAAAACAAGTTTGTCTGTTCAAAGAATGGTTGCCACTAGAGGATTATGTGGTCCACACCTGTATTCTCTATTTAGTCAGAAGGGAGGCATCTTACTCAACCCCCTCATTTTATAGAGCCTGAGAGAGGATGAGCAACTTTCCAGAGGTCGCAGCGCTAGAAAGTTCCAGGATCTTCTGGGATTTGTCTCAAGTGACTTGCCTTTTCACTGCACCTAACAGTAACGTGTGGCAAAGGGTGTGTGTATGTTGAAATCATTAGTGTCTGCTCATGAATTGTTACATAGGAGAAGCTTGGGGTGACCATCTGGTTGGGCAAGAGGGGCTGGATGACATTAGGATGTGTTTGCATAACAAGTCCGGCACTTTTTCCTAGATTGTGTGTTTATTTGGGGGTAGTCTGGCAGATGCAGGAGGGTGGGAGTTCAAAAAGAAGGGAGCACGGGGAAGAAGATTCTCCATGGCTGCCCCCACTGCATGTTTTAATGGACTTTCTTATACATCTCCTTTAATGTCTACTAAGTCACAAATTTATTGAAGGCACTCATTGAGTCTTATTCCCCTCTGATTATGTTTCATAGTTATTTGATGAATCAATGACCATGTCAACCTTGATCATTTTCAGATCTAAACAGTATTTTCTAACATCTTAGATGATTAGCATATACCTCATGTTATCTATTCCTGTCTGTTTGTACTTGTTCAACACATATCCAGTGTTTACTATGTGCACCATTGTCAGCATTTTACAAACATCAACTTATTTAATCTTGTCTTTGTTGCTGTTTCCTAAACAGTCCATGACGGTGACTATCTACTATTAGAAATCCTTTTCTTCCTCTCTCTTCCTCTTCCTCTCCAAAGGACTGAAAATCAGTTACTGGTCCCTGCCCGTTTTGCAAATACTTGGCCTGGGGAAGAGTGGTGGGGAGGGATGAAATAGTTAACTAGCTGACCTGGGGCGCACAGTTTCCCTGGCAGATGCTGCGCTCAGGCTGCGGCTGCTTCCTCCTGAATCTGTTAGGAGTACACTTTCCCTTTGCCCTCGGGGCCAGCGTCCAGGTTTGCCCCGGTGGTGGAGACAGCTCCAGCCACGAAGCTGATTTATAGGCCAGAGCATTCCCAGGCCGCACCGCAAGGAGTCGGGCTGAGCTTGGACTTTGGGGAGGTGGTGATGGACACAGGACACGTGGCCACACAATGGGGACACACGACTGACCTCAGTCACTTCGGTAAACTGCCCTTGCTTTCCGGAGGCGGCAGGAACGTTTCAGGAGCTCCAAGGCTCTAGGCGCCTGCCTTCCTCGCCCAAGCAGGTAGTCCCCTCGCCCTGTTGAACGCAAGAGCATCCAAGGGCGCGCAAGCCCCCAAGAGCTCTCAGAGGTCCCTGACCCTGAGCGTTAAAGCCCTTCCTTGTGGATGAGACCCTTGGTGTGTTCCACCCGCTTGGGGGCTGAGACTGGCCAGGACGCGCTGAGAACGAACTTTCCGCGCAGGTCAGATATAGGCACTCAGGGGTTTTGTGACGTCACAGTGCCGTCGGGCCCGTTGAAAGGCAAAGGAAGGGTCAAAAACGGATAGTGTGTGTGTTGTGTGGCTGAAGTGGGGGCATGTGAGAAAAGGGAAGTCAGAGGAATGGGGGAAGGGATTTGGGGACATGAATTTGAGAAGGAGTAATCAAGTTTGTGCGTGGAGGGTAGGGGGAAGCAGGATTTTTTCTTTTTCCCTCCTATATGCAAACTGTCACTTCGGGTTAGCGTGAACCCTTATCTGGCTCATTAGCATGAGCTGTGGCTAACACGCTTAAACCCTCTAATTATTTATTATGCCGTCACGGAGCGGGTTGCAACTCCACCCCGGGGCTCACTTTCGGGAACCTGCAGAGCTGGGCACCGCACGGGGGCCGGGGCACAGCTCCTGGTCCGGCTGCGCGCTACCAGGGAGACCCCTCACGACTCAGGAGCCCCACGGGGCACTGTTCTGAGGGTCAACGAAGCAGAGTTGTTGGGGGTCTGTCTGGAATGGCTTCTCACCAACATTCATCCCCTAGTAGTACTGCACTCGCCTGGCGAATCTACATAGCACCCTAATTTCTCCATTGACAACTCCAAAGACCGAAGTTGGAGCCAAAAGGAACAGACTTTTTGCAAAAATAAAAACAGAGGCCAAACCCGGTGCAAAGGGCCTGGGAATTGGGTTGAGTAGCATGTTGAGTACACTTTCCAGAAGAACCCTGGGGAGAACCTAAAGTTTGCTGGAGCCTTCTTCCCCCACCCCCACGTTCCAAGAGGATCCACAAAGTGGGGGTAGGAGATTTGATGGGCTGAAATCCGGTCACTCACTACCACGGTTCTATTCAGAAAACAGTTTCAAAATAAGTTAACCTCTGTAGGGCGTTTTTTCCCCTCCCCTTCTAATTGTCCCCCCTTCCCCCTCCCCCTCCTCATTTGAGTCTGTTTTATGTTCCCCTGCGTTGTGCCAACTATTTTATCTTTATTCCTTCTCTTTCTCTCTTGCCATTCATTCCTTTTTTTGTGTGTGTGGCTTCTCTGGCTGATGTGCGGCTCGTTACCACCCACTGCACACTTGCTCCTGTAGCTGAGGTGTTTCTATACAAACTCCAGCGTCCAGTTGTCATATTAATTATTACACTGAGTAATGACTGAAATGGTCAAAATAAGGGGAGACTCAAGAGCGCTTTTTCTTGCAGCTCAAAGATTCAGCAAAGAAGCCGTGCAACAAAGCACTAATTGGTCCCCAGAAACACTCTGACAAGGCATGGAAGATAGGTTTCATAGAGCCCTTCGATTGTGAAGGGGGGAGAGCTCTGAATGGACTCCACGCTTCTTTTCTAAACTCTCTTGCTGAGCAAAAAATGGACCTCTGTTTGAATACTGCCCTGATCCTTGAATACTATACCCAGCAGAGAAAAAAATGCACCATTTATTGTAAGTTTTTTTTTCTTCTCCAGCTATTCAGAGGTTCTCTGTGAAGAATCAGCTGGTTTTGTTTACCGTGAAAGACCTTTACTTTATTTTCATTCTTGGAGGAGGTGGGGAGGAGGAGGGAAGGAAAGCCATGTGCCTAGACAGAGAGGAGCTGGCCTACTGTAACAAAATAGAGTGTAACAAATCCTACAAAAGTTTAGAATGTATTGATTCTTTGGAGAGCTATATAGATTAACGACTTTCTTTATGCTCATCCAAGGAAGGTATTTAATCATAATGTAAATGGGGCTTTAGAAAAAAATAAAGACTTAGCGTTACTTCTCCTTATTTGGAGAACTTCAAAAGGACTTGTGAGGGTGGCTGCAAATTACCTCCTCACCCATCCCCACATTCCCTCCTTATCCCAAAAGCCACAATAAAATATAGTTTGTGCTTTTTTTGTTTTGTTTTTTCAAACTTTTTTTTTCTTTTTAAAGCATATTGAAAAAGTGAATAGATTTGTTAGAAGGCTGAATTCCTCAATGCAGGTGCAAGCTTGGCTGCTGTGACCAGGAAGCTGAGCCAAGCCAAATATATGGTTTGTGCTATTCTGCCCCCTGAGCAGGCCCTCCAAAGCTGGTGCAGAGTCAATGCAGGCTAGGCAGCAATCCTTTCTGAAATTACCTTGGGTAGGGTATTCTTAGAGGCAGTAGATTGTGCAGTAACGTTCTTTTCTTTTCCCTGGATAGGGCAGTGTCTAGCACAGGCTTACAGCAGCACACAGCTCAGCAGGACAGAGGCCCTGTATTAATTATAGCTCCTGGAAGATGAATATTGGCTATGAATGCCAAGCACACTCACTTTTCTCAAAGCATCCATTGCTTCTGGAACTCAAGTCACCCCCAAATTCAAAGATTACACTTAAAATCCTGTAACAAAATCCAGAATCCAAGATTTGTGTTCATCCTTGTACCCCCTTTGCCCCTGATTCGGAATCTAACTAAAGTTAAAAATACAACTTTATTAAATTATTTGTCCAGTGGAAATCCTAGTTTCACTTGTAATATCAATCCCTCTCCCAAAAGAGAAAGCATAAATTGGTTTTCAAAGAGATGAGTCATATCTTCTTTTTACAGAGAGACAACACACAGTCAAGAGCACATACATAGTTCTTGAGCTTGAGTGAAGTTGGTATTGGCCTGGCCTTCAGCTGTGAATGGAAATTAAGGTGGCAGGAGACTCAAGGCACAGGGTCTCTGATCTCAGGGCAGCAGACCCCTGTGGCCACTAGGAAAGCCATCTCACCCTACAGATCCTGATGCTGAATGAAGATAAGGTCTAATCTGAAGTATGGTTCAGCTCCAGAGTGTTCTGATATAGGAAAGGGGCCTGAAGGTGCAGAAATTAAGTCCCCTATTGTATTGGAGGAGAAAAAGAAGCCTTCTCATCTTTCTGCAATGTCTGTACTCTGGTTGACACTCACCAAAGGGGATCAGTGCTTTGCTCTTCCCACTCCCCCACCCCCATGACAAGACAGAACACTGTTTGAATACTGCTATTTGAAAAAGCAAAAAGGCAATCTCTGATATATGGAGAAACTTGCAAAGCAAATCACCCAACAACATCTGATTTAATTCTCATAACACCCTTGACATACAGGCAAAGGGAGTACCACCACCTCATTTACAAATGAAGGTATCAAACCCTCCTTTTGTGAGTTGTTTACTTCTCCCTTCATGTGAAGATAAATGCGACATTGTTCAAGTGTCTTAGCCAAGTAAAGTCCTAAGGACTTGCTCAGAATCAGGCCCACTGTGTGGCAAGGGAGCCACAGAAAGCAGAGCCCAGTGGCTCGGCTGAAGCCCCTTGCATGTGGAGGCCACAGAACATCTCTATAGTTTATCTCACTTGCTACTGTTCATGTCTAAAAATTGGGTTACTATCTCCATCACTTTAATATGCCAGCATCACCACCATTTCTCAAAAATGACAGGAATTACTCACCCCTAGGTGCTGGGGCAGTGAGACAGAGTGGCACTGGATCTCCATCGGCTGGAGTGACGATCACAAAGTGGTTCCAGGAAGCCAAGTGCTGAGGCTGCTCCTGCCATACACCCTTTCCTGGGTGTGTTGTGTGAGCGTGACTTCCTTATTAATCCTTTTCTCTCTAGACCTGGCCTAGAGTGCTCTACATACATATCATTGAAATCGCACAACTCTTCGAGGTAGGTACTATAATTATTGGCATAGGTGAAATAGAGACACCCAGAGTGTCTCAGGATCACACAGCTCTCAGGTAATGAGGCCTGGATACCAAGTCAAATCAGCCTGCTTTATCTGGAATTCCATGGGCCTAGGGGAGCAGAACATGTGGCCAGTTCTCTCAGGTTGGGAGGAGGGATTCTAATCTAGGCCACAGTGTCAGAGGCAGGATTCTAATTTTGGTTCCTGAGCCTCCCATCTTTTGCTTCGCACTGGTGAAAACAACCAGGAAGCCAATATCAATGGAAAACTCTCCTTGATAGAATCCCCAAGGATAGAAATGCAAACCTCTAAAGAAAAATTATAGACTGTTCTACCCTAGGGTTGGAGGAGAAAGTGGACAGGACAGTGTTGAGGTGCAAATTCCAGGTTTACTTGAGTGGAGAAAGGAGAATGCCTGGGTTCTTGGAAGGCTTTGCAAAGCATGTAAGGAAGAAAAACTTAGCATACCAGGGTGAGAAGAGTGAGGACAGGCTCAGGGCTGGCATAGGGAGAATAATGACAAATGTTCTGGTGGTTTTGGCCAGAAGGATCCTAGCATCAACTGTCTTTTCTCCTGGCCTGAGGCCAATGAGTAAGGCCTCTACAAGACAAGTCTTCTTCACTACAATGCACTTCCATTTGGGCACCCATTTCATGGTGTGTGGGAGGGGAGAGGAGGTTCCATCCTCTACATCCCTGGTATTGAGATCCTTGTGTATGCATCCTGGAAAAGGAAACTGGGAACACGTGCTGGCTACCAGCAAATTTTCTAAGCTGTTAGATACAAGTTTCAAAATTAGCTGGTGTACATCCCTTCTGTGCAGATCAGAAAACTGAGGCCCGTAGAGGCAGAGGGACTTGTTCAAGGTTATAAGGCACCATTGTGGTAGAGCTCAGACTCCGGACCTTTGTGAAGTGAGTCCAAGTTGGTAGGGAGCTTGGGGTTCATGTTTCAGCTTAATGTAAAAGAAAACACATCTAGATGATTCCACGTTTGCAAGACTCCCTCTCACTCTCACCCCGGACACTCAACTATTTTGCTGAAATAGAGTGAATGGGGCATTCGGACACAGCTGGGTCATGTGGGAGGTGAGTAAGGAGTGCCTGAATAATTCCTATTTCTGCAAGTGATCTGAGGCTTACTGTGGCTGGGAGGCACAGGGTGCCCAGGCTGTGTTGTGACTCTGCTTTTGGGTGCTCACCTCCTATACTTCCAGAGATCTCTTAGCCTTTCCTGTGGTCAGGGATGTGGAGAAAGGCCCGAGGTGTGAATCCCACGGGGTTCAGCCAGTCCTGTGAGGCCAGCAAGTTACAGGTTACTATGGGGAGAAGAGGCTGTGTGGCTAGGAAAGGTTACAGAATTGACCTCTGTTGGCACGATTTGGTCCTATACCTCTCAAGCCTACCTATTCTGCAAAGAGGAAACTGAGGCAGAGAAGAGAGTTGATTCACTCCGGCAGCCGCCCGTCCTTACCGCCCACCATCATCAATATTGTTCCAGAAACACTCAGCCAGCCCACATACCAAGGGCAGCTCCCTGGGTCATCCCCGTTGGCCCTTTAGAAAGATCCATCTCCACAAAGGGGAGTTCAATTAGAACCAATTATCCGGATAATTCACCACAATCATTCTTGCATCCAGATCTCGGATTATTTCTACTGGAAAATCAAAGTGGATGATTGCCCTCCACTTCGTTCTGCCTATGTAGACGCGACCTGATACGCGCCCCAGCCTCTCTCCGGACCAGAGCCTTAAAGAGATGGGGCCTGTTGCTCGGTCTGCTTTCTCTGCAGCGCCGCGTCCCCAGACGTCCTGAAGCTGGACAGGGTTCTGGCCAGAGAGCGCCAGGGCCGAGGGCCCAGGAAGGGCGCCTGGGCAGGCGCTGTCCAAGCGGTCGAACGACGGCTGCAAGCGCCTACCCCTCCCTCGCGGCGCCAGCACGCGGCCCCGCCGGGCTCGGCTCCCAGTCGCCTGCCACCGGCCCGCCGGGCACACGCCTGGGGCGGGATGGGGGCTGCGCCAAGGCCGCCGAGGTGCCCGCGGCGGCGCCGAACAACCAGGAAGCTCCACCAGTGCCCTAAGCGCCATCACCCAACCCCCGCCCGGCGTCTTTCTTCTCCGAGGGTCTGGGAATATCCCAGAGCACTCCTTTCTTTATGATATCCCCCAAGCTGGTCCGGAAATAATCCTTATGGGGAGGGGGTGGCGGTAGAGGGCGGCGGTAGGGGGTGATCCTACGGGGGCCAGAGGTCATCCTAGGGGGATGTCCCTGCCATATACACCCACCTATAGGACGGTTCACAACCACTCCTCAGTGGCGCTTCTCCTTGCCCCCCCATACACTTGCTCAGTTGTGGGGAACACATCCTAGGTTTTAGAGCTGAATGGGACTTTAGAGACCATATTCTGTGGCTGCAGACGAGGAAGCGAAGGCTTAGAGAGGATGCCACTTATGAGGAGCCACAGCGCATTGAGAGGACGCCTTGGGACTAGAACCCACGTTTTCACATAGTCCAGCACCCTTTTTCACTGTCCTGGACGGAGTTACCCCCTACCCATGTTTCTAAACCTCAATCATAATTTGCTCCAATTTCTAGGGTCACCGAAAAACCCGAAGAGAATAATAGTGAGGAGGGGGAGAAAACAGGAAAAGTCGAGCCCCACTCCATCCTCACCGCGACACCGCTCCTGTGCCAGTTTTTCTGCCCAAACCCTTCCCTGCGCTTTGCTTCAAGTTCTTAGCAGAATCCAAGGGAACTTCACCCCCAATCTTGCCACCTATACACCTCAATTCCTAGAGCCATTTGTCCGTCCTGTGACGCCCCCCACCCCCTTCCTAAAACCACCCCCGGCTGCAGCCCGCCCCGAGCGCGCCGCCTGTTTATTCAGCCGGGAGTCCGGCACGCGCCAGGCGCACGCACTGCAACAACAAACCCAGCTGAATGGAGAGTTTGCAAGGAGCGGGAGAAAGGAACGGGAGGGGGGAGAGGAGAGGAGGAGGGGGAGTTTAGGGAGTGGGTGGGAGGAGAAGATAAGAGGAGGGGGGAGTGGGGGCTGCAGCCGCTCGCTGCAGCAGCGGGGAGTGGGGGGCGAGGCGGGGCCAGGGCTGCGCGTGGGGCTGGGTGTCCCATTGAAAAGGCGGACGCACTCCGGCCGCCCAGCACTCTCTCACTTCTGGCCAGGGAACGTGGAAGGCGCACCGACAGGGATCCGGCCAGGGAGGGCGAGTGAAAGAAGGAAATCAGAAAGAAAGGGAGTTAACAAAATAATAAAAACAGCCTGAGCCACGGCTGGAGAGACCGAGACCCGGCGCAAGAGAGCGCAGCCTTAGTAGGAGAGGAACGCGAGACGCGGCAGAGCGCGCTCAGCACTGACTTTTGCTGCTGCTGCTGCTTCTGCTTTTTTTTTTTTTTCTTAGAAACAAGAAGGCGCCAGCGGCAGCCTCACACGCGAGCGCCACGCGAGGCTCCCGAAGCCAACCCGCGAAGGGAGGAGGGGAGGGAGGAGGAGGCGACGTACAGGGAGGAGAAAAAGCATTTTCACCTTCTTTGCTCCCACTCTAAGAAGTCTCCCGGGGATTTTGTATATATTTTTTAACTTCCCTCAGGGCTCCCGCTTCATCTTTCCTCTTCTTTCCCTCTCTGTTCCTGCACCCAAGTCCTCTCTGTGTCCCCCTCGCGCGCCCCGCACCTCGCGTCCCCGCTCGCTCTGATTCCGCGACTCCTTGGCCGCCGCTGCGCATGGAAAGCTCTGCCAAGATGGAGAGCGGCGGCGCCGGCCAGCAGCCCCAGCCGCAGCCCCAGCCGCAGCCCCAGCAGCCCTTCCTGCCACCCGCAGCCTGTTTCTTTGCCACCGCAGCAGCAGCGGCGGCCGCGGCAGCCGCAGCGGCCGCGCAGAGCGCGCAGCAGCAGCAGCAGCAGCAACAGCAGCAGGCGCCGCAGCTGAGACCGGCGGCCGACGGCCAGCCCTCAGGGGGCGGTCACAAGTCAGCGCCCAAGCAAGTCAAGCGACAGCGCTCGTCTTCGCCCGAACTGATGCGCTGCAAACGCCGGCTCAACTTCAGCGGCTTTGGCTACAGCCTGCCGCAGCAGCAGCCGGCCGCCGTGGCGCGCCGCAACGAGCGCGAGCGCAACCGCGTCAAGTTGGTTAACCTGGGCTTTGCCACCCTTCGGGAGCACGTCCCCAACGGCGCGGCCAACAAGAAGATGAGTAAGGTGGAGACACTGCGCTCTGCCGTCGAGTACATTCGCGCGCTGCAGCAGCTGCTGGATGAGCATGACGCGGTGAGCGCCGCCTTCCAGGCTGGCGTCCTGTCGCCCACCATCTCCCCCAACTACTCCAACGACTTGAACTCCATGGCCGGCTCGCCGGTCTCATCCTACTCCTCGGACGAGGGCTCTTACGACCCGCTCAGCCCCGAGGAGCAGGAGCTGCTCGACTTCACCAACTGGTTCTGAGGGGCTCGGCCTGGTCAGGCCCTGGTGCGAAAGGACTTTGAAAGCAGGTAGGTTGCATTTTGGGGCGGGCGGGGGAGGGGTATTCTTGCCTTAGTCCTCCGTCTGAGTGTCTGTGGAAGTGCGGATGTCTCCAAGGAGATGGGGGAATTTTTATTTAAAGGATTTGTGAAAGCTGGTCGATTTCAAGTCCTAGTTTGTTAGTTTCAGCACTGGCCTCTGAAAATGGCTTTGCCCAGGTCTCCAAGGAGTGAAGGGTAGTAGTGAGGTGCAGAGATACTGGTGAACCGAATACTGGGACGTGTCAAAAGAGACGTCTACCTGACAGATTCTTTCCCCAGACCTCCATCTCCCCCTACCACTAACCTACACGTTCAAGTTAACCTCTCCTGTTATTTTCCTTATGTTATAGGGTGATCGCATAACCTGCATCTTTAGTGCTTTCTCGTCAGTGGCGTTGGGAGGGGGAGAAAAGAAAAAGAAGAAGAAAAGGGAAGAAGAAAAAAACGAAAACAGTCAACCAACCCCAACGCCAACCAAGCGAGGCATGCCTGAGAAACATGGCTTTCAGAAAAACGGGAAGCGCTCACAACAGTATCTTTGCACTCCAATCATTCACGGAGATATGAAGAGCAACTGGGACCTGAGTCAACGCGCAAAATGCAGCTTGTGTGCAAAAGCAGTGGGCTCCTGGCAGAAGGGAGCAGCACACGCATTATAGTAACTCCCACCACCTCTAACACGCACAGCTGAAAGCTCTTGCTCGGGTCCCTTCACCTCCCTGCCCTCTCTCAAAGTGCAGTTCTTAGCCCTCTAGAAACGAGTTGGTGTCTTTCGTCTCAGTAGCCCCCACCCCAATAAGCTGTAGACGTTGGTTTACAGTGAAACTATGCTATTCTCAGCCCTTTGAAACCCTGCTTCTCCTCCAGGGCCGGATTCCCAAACCCCATGGCTTCCCTCACACTGTCTTTTCTATCATTTTCATCATAGAATGCTTCCAATCTTTTGTGAATTTTTTTATTATAAAAAATCTATTTGTATCTATCCTAACCAGTTTGGGGATATATTAAGATATTTTTGTACATAAGAGAGAAAGAGAGAGAAAAATTTATAGAAGTTTTGTACAAATGGTTTAAAATGTGTATATCTTGATACTTTAACATGTAATGCTATTACCTCTGCATATTTTAGATGTGTAGTTCACCTTACAACTGCCATTTTCCCTATGTGGTTTTGTAAAGAACTCTCCTCATAGGTGAGATCAAGAGGCCACCAGTTGTACTTCAGCACCAATGTGTCTTACTTTATAGAAATGTTGTTAATGTATTAATGATGTTATTAAATACTGTTCAAGAAGAACAAAGTTTATGCAGCTACTGTCCAAACTCAAAGTGGCAGCCAGTTGGTTTTGATAGGTTGCCTTTTGGAGATTCCTCTTACTGCCTTTTTTTTTCCTTACTGTTTTATTACAAACTTACAAAAATATGTATAACCCTGTTTTATACAAACTAGTTTCGTAATAAAACCTTTTTCCTTTTTTAAAAATGAAAATAATCAGCTGCCTCTAATCTTTCTTTGACTCTGGTGCCCCTAGTTCAGTTTTATGAAAGTGTCAAAGGGAAGAGTGGGTGGAGAAGAAAATGTTGCAAAACATGCTAAGTGGCAGAAATGACAATGATAAGTGCCATGGCCAGTCCCATCCAAATGGTGACTTTATGATGAATGTGTGTGTGTGTGTGTACATGTATATACGTTTTCTTTCTATCCTGTGCACAAATGTACATGCCCACCAAAAGAATAGATGATGATTGATGGCTGCATTATCCTTTGATCAAAATTTAAAATCCCCAAAAAAGTGAACCAGAAAGAGAGGGTCCTCCACCGTTTTCCAATTCTCAACTCCATTCTGAGTTTCTCCATGTGAAACTATGGTAGGACTGGATGAAATAATGGAGACTAGGTCTGGGTGGGGAGAATGGTGGTTCTGGGATGGGGGTTGGAGAGGTATCCCTCTCCACATTCAAGCTCCTAGTGGCGAGTATGTTTCTCTTCCCTCACTTCCAGGCACACATTTTCTACTCATTTTCTCCAGTACACATACTTGCCACATTGATTTTAAGTAAAAGGCACATATGATATGAATTCATTCCAAACGGATTGAGATTTTAATAAAAAAACGCATTAGAAATGTGTGGTCGCTTTGAGACACTGGTCTATCTAAGCTTGTGACTCTATCCGAATAGCGTGAGCTGCGTATAAAAGTACCCAATTACCAAGATTCAAAAAGAAATTGGTGGGTTTTTGGCTGGCTTGCTTCTTGTCAGTTAGCAAGGACGTGATTAGAATCCTACTCGGCCTCTCGCCGGCTCCTCGCTCGCCGCCTGCATTACTTGCAGATTCAGTTTGCGTGTCTCCAGCCAAGCGGAAAGCCGAGCGCAAAATGCATCTTACAAAACCCAACAAAGAACGGGTAGCCAGCACGTCTTCCAGAGTTAAAAATCTAGTCTGTGTTGGTACATCTATACCATTTAGTGGCACAGAATAATCATTTTTTAAAGCCACGATGCGCGGAGCACGCCACAGCGTCTGATGTCATTTTGCTAAATGACCCTCTATAGAATGCACATTGAGGCTTCAGTCCCTTTCAAAGAGATGAGCGTAATTAAGGAAAAAAAATCAGTAAATTCCTCATCGCCATAAATAATCGGACTTTCTGCCAGCAGTGGGCCAATTTAGAGCTTACTTGAGAGAAGTAATGCTTTTGTGATGCCTGCTTTTATTTTTATCTTCTCATTTGGAGGACCAGAGATGGGCTCCACCCCCACTCTCCATTTCTCTTTCCTTTAATTTATCTCCTTTGCAAGTTTCCAGATAAGGTATGCAAAGAAAGTGTAGCAAGTCACTTATGGCTATGAATATAACATTAGGATAATGTTTCAGCCCGCACAAAAGGGGATTTTTTTTCCTTCTCCTGTGGAGACAGGTGTTCTTTTACTCACTTCTGAATGGGAAATATCCAGTCTCGTTAAACTCGAGGCAAAGTTAGTCGTTGTTTGCCACAATGTGAAGGAAAACTCGAAAAATTCACAAAAACACACACACACAATTTTGCCGAAGCTAGGAAAGGGCAAAGCGAGGATTGGGCAAAATCTCATTACATCTGCTCTAATCGCTTAGCAACACAAAGCCGGGGCTTGTGCGGCGAAGGGAAGCCATTCACAGCGCTCTGACAGGCCGCATTCAGCGCGCGTTAGTCAGCTCCATAAATCACCGCTGCCCATTGGCTGCGCGGCGGGCTTTGGAGCGGCCCTGGGCTGTCAGCGAAATACAAAATGTAGACCCCAGAGGCTAGCAATAGCAGCCTCTTCCCGGTCTTAGCCCCCACCTATTTTTCTTTCTTTCTTTCTTTCTTTCTTTCTTTCTTTCTTTCTTTCTTTCTTTCTTTCTTTCTTTCTTTCTCTTTCTTTCTTTCTTTCTTTCTTTCTTTCTTTTTCTTTTTCTTTCTTTCTTTCTTTCCTTCCTTCCTTCTTTCTTTCTTTCTCTCTTTTCGTTTCGTTTCTTTTAGTTTCTTTTTTTTTTTTTTAAGAGAGAGGAGGGGAATGCTGGGGTAGAAAACTGCATTGACTTTATTGACTGACAAATCTTACCTATTCAACAATGGCCTGGAGACCACCGAGTTAAGACTGAAGACACGCTGAAATCGATGAGGAGGAGTGGGGAGTGGGGGAGAGAAAGAAAATACAGACCTGCCGCCGGCTGCAGAGCTGTTGAATGGCACACATCATCAGAGGATGGGAGAGAGCTATTGGTGCACAGGTTTCACCTCCCTGACACAGTTCTTTTAACATTTTAAATTGAGAGTAGAAGGGGATGCATCAAGAAGAATCTATCTCAAGTTCACATCAGGCAGGACCCACTAAGGAAGAGAGAAGAAACCATTCTGTGGTTTGCAGAGAACTTCAAAGGAGTAGGACTGAGATGTCTTAAGAAAGAGGGATAGAACGTGCCTTTCCACTTCGCTGTTCTTGCAGTGCTGGCGATGTTTAAACACAGAAGTTGCAGCCCAATTCGTTGATATACACAGCAGTTGGGTGAAGCCACGTAAAGGAGTTAAGAAATGGCTTGGTGGCAGAGATTACAAGCTATATGTAAATGTTAACCCCTGTTACTGTTGCTATTCTTATCTTCCGGTCTTGTATCTCATTTTCCTGGGGACTGGTCAGGTGCATCTAGATCACAACCCAAATTGGATTCTTACCCACAAACCACGTAGGAAAAGTCTGATAATAGATGTGGTATCAAGGGAGATTTTTCTAAGATGCCCAAGTTGCTTTACCTCAAATGCCACCTCCTCCAAGAAGCTTTCCCCGACTACCCTCTTTAAAGCAGCTCTCCATTGCTATAATTGCTGTCCATTAATCCTATTTTTCCTTCCTGGCATTTACCACTATCTGAAAATGCTGTATCTTTGTTTGGTTATATGATTATTGTCAATTATCCCCCACTACACGGTAACCGCCCTGAAGCTAGGGACCTTACTTGTCGTGTTCACCATTATCTCTCCCGCCCCTGGGAAGAAAAGGTATTTATTGACTACATGGACACATGGGGATGGTCTTCTCTGCTCCACGGAAAGTTGTGTTTCTCATTCTTCCTTTCCCCTCCACTTGCACTCTCCACCCTTCTCTGCTCTTCTCTCTGTCTCAGGAGGCAGGCTTATCTTTATGGAATTCATCACAAGAGTTGTGTGTCCTTCTGGCTTCCTCTTGGGTTTGGCCAGTGGGAGACACCAGCAGGAGGTGGCAAAGTAGAAGGGGAGATAGGTTGGGATATTTTTATCCCTGCTCCATCCCTGCCTAGGCCCTATTGCTTTGACAGTGTCTCTACTCCTTGTCCTAAGTCCAGGGCTCTTGTCAGGAGGCTTCTCTCCCACCAATACAGCTCTTACTGAAGTCTAGTAACAACTCCCTCCTCTTGCCCCTTAATTAAGGCCCAGAGCTGGTAACAGCTCTCCCTTGTTCCTAGTCTCTGGGTGCAGCATCATTTTAGTTAACCTCACCAACATCTCTGTCTTTCTGTTAAACTTTTTCATTTACCCTTGTGCCATCATCTCTCTTGCCAACTCTGTCTGCTACACAGGCCATTTCCCCACAGGATCTCATGGATATATTAGTTTTATGTAAGATTTTTCAGGGACTCTTGGGGTTATGAGTAAGAAAAATCCTAGAGTATGGATGAACCCAACTCCATACAACATGTAACTCTAGAAACATCAGTTCATCTTCTTCAACCAGGAGTGAAGTCAATTACAGTTTTCTCTTCTGGAAAATGAGGAAAATAATACCTTCCTTTGCATAGATCACCAGGTGAACAGAAAATGGAAGGGCTTTAGAGCATCCAATGACTATATCAATGCAAGAGATATGTGCTTCTTACGATCTTTCTGAACCAGGTAGTGGAGTGGTACTGGGGACTTGCCATTAGGATCAGCAAAGCTGTTGCTGCTGTTGGAAGCCACCCCCACTTTCTTTCGCCCATTCATTCGCCCTGCAATTTATGCACTCACTTCAAAGGGGAGGGACAAATTATTAAATCTGGTCAACATTTCTAGAACTTAATTGTGTTAATTTGTGTTTTCTCTCCAAGAAGCATCTGTTATTGCAACTTCTTAAAACAACAACAACACCACCACCACCACCACCACCACCACTGTGGATGCTTCTGTGGTGTAATAATTGTCCGCAACCTCAGGTCCTTTTATTTATTGCTGAAAAGCCTCTGAACTTCTTTCTCCCTCTCTCCACTCCTGAGCCAAGACATAGTTCTTTTCGGACTTCCAGAGAAACTCCTGGTTATCCGGAGACAACGGTAAGGAGGGAAGCGGATTCGCTGACACTAAGGTTCTTTATCTACTGCGAAAGCGAATGACTTGGATCTAGCGCAGGTCGAAGTTATATTCCTTCTTCCTTTGTATGCAAGATTAGGTTGTTACAAAAGAGGGTGTGTAGGTTAATGGCAGGAGGCAAGTTGCAGCGCGGAGCGCGGGCCCTGAGCGCGTGTCAGGCTTAATGATTTATTCAAGCTGCAGCGCATCCGGGCGTTGATTGGCTGCAGGCATGCGTCCGCTGTCAGCTGCGCGCGCCGGGAACTCTCCAGGCTACCTGAAGCTGGGGGGAGGAAGAGGAGGCGTGGGGACCCGAGGGGAGAGGTGTGAAAAGGAGGAACAGGTAGGAGTAGGGGGTGAGGGAGAGGAACAGAGAGAGAGAGAAACAGAGAGGAAGAGAGACATAGAGGAGATGGGAAAAGAAAAAGTAGAGAGAAACTGAGTGAGAGGAGGAGAGAAGGGAAGGAAGGAGGGAGAACAGAGAAGGGAAGAGAAACTCAAGCCTAGGTTGCTGGGGTAGGAGAGAGGGGAGAGGAAAAGATGGAGAAAGCAGACGAGAAAAACAAGAGGGAGAAAGAGAAAATGAAGGAGAGGCGAGGATAGGAGAATAAATGAGAGAGAGCATAGACAGAGATTGGAGACAGGAGTGGGACGCGCTCCCAGAACG